TCTGCCTCCTCTGCCTCCTCTGCCTCCTCTGCCTCCTCTGCCTCCTCTGCCTCCACCCACTTCTGGATGTACCCTCTCAGTCTATGTCACATTATGCTAGGTTCTTGTCTGCAAGCATAGCAGAGTATTATTAGTATTGTCAGGTGTTGGTCTTTCACATGGGATGGACATTAGCCATAAAATACAGGGCAAGTGTGCTACAACACACAGACCCAAAGAAACTGGGTAATATGGAAGTCTCAAGAGAGGATGTGGGAATGTCACTCAGAAGGGGAAACTAAATAGCCATTGGAGGTGGATGGAGAGAGGTAACTGGATAGGAGAGGAGGTGAGGAAGAGAGTGGGGATGGCAATCAAGTGTGGGGAGGAGAGAGATAGATAGAGGGGCTTGGAATAAGAATAAAATCAGTGGAGGGCATCTCTGGTAACTAGCTGGAAGCATTGGATGAGAGAGAACATGTGAAATCTATGGGAGTGACCCCTAGCTTAGATCCCTACTAGAGGGGGATATAAAGACTGATGTGGCCATCTCTTGTAGCCAGACAGGACTTCCAGAGGAGGGGGTGGGAAGCAGAACGTCAATCTACCCACAAAACCTTCTACACAGAATTTGTCTTGCCTACAAAATGTGCAGGGATAAAAGATAGAACAGAGACTGAGGGAATAGCCAACCAATGACTGCCCCAACTTGAGACCCATCACTTCTTTCAATCTGAACAGTAATCTCTTGGAGTACAGAGTTTGTGAGTAGCATTTTGTAGTTCAGAAGAGCCATGTTAAGTCACTCCCAAATGAATGAGTGCTAGGCATGTTGGGGTTGGAGTATTGCTTTTCTTTCTCCCAGGAGAGGTTCATCCATCCATCCATCAGCTTCTTAATGACTACCTTGTTTGTGCTGAACTTTCTCTGCATTGTGCATTGGTGGTAGAGATGGCTAAGGAGGGAGGGCCCAGCCATATGTTCCCCTGTCAGGACACAGCCTTGCATCTCTTTGTAGGATAATGTCTATGCTCCTGCTTGAAGCTTTTCTCCAGAACCTCTGAGCTCAGAAACAAAGTGTTGTGGTTCAGATTTTCTCATGATACATGATGTCTGGACAGGGCTTGAGGATCTGTGTGTTGAGGAATTCACAGGTGAAACCCTGGTTTTCAGTGTCTTTGGGTCTTCACAGTTGGGTGACTGGCTGAGCACTCCAGGGATTTGCAGATGACTTTTAGAGTAGATAGGTGGTTTGGCTGGTGCAGGCTTTGTTTTGGCATAGTTTTCTGAGTTGTCTGGCTTTCTGAGAACGACATCTTCTCTATTCCTTCTCGGTGTTTTGGGTGGGAATTCAGGCAGCTATTATTTGTTGGTTAAGGAATATATCTACCTTTCTTTCCTCCTATTCTCCCTTTATCCTCGCTTCCTCCTTCTGCCTGCACTAGACCAGGCCTTTTGCTATAGATGAGTGTTAGATATTGCTAATGAATAAAAGCTTGTGCTCCCAGAAGCTTCTCAGTAGTTGACAGGGGATGGGTTCTGCTTCTTCCCTCCCTTCTCTTTGATACAGTGGTTTTCAACCTTTTTGGCCCTTTAATACAGTTCTTCATGTTATGGTGACCCCCAACCATAAAATTATTTTTTGTTGCTATTGCATAGCTGTAATTTTGCTACTGTTAAAAATAATATTGTAAATATCTGTGTTTTCTGATAGTCTTAAGTGACCTCTCTGAAAGAGTCATTGGACCCCAAGGGGTTGAGAACCACTACCCTAATGTCATGACTTGCTAGTCACTCCAGACATGATCCAATGCTGCCTGTAGGTTTATATCAGGCCACAGGTAAATCTGGATGGAAGATATTTTGTTTAGTTGGCAAACATTCCATAGACTTGGGAATCTAAGAAACATTTGAAGATTTTATTTTGGAATAGCACTGGCAATGAGACAAGCCTAAAAAAAAAAAAAATGTTTCCCAGGCTGCAAAGCTGAGGAAGAAAGGGCAGTCATAGAAGACAGCCTTTTCCTTTAGGAGGAGGAAAGGCCCTAGATATGCTGATAGGAGCCATAGAAGACCAGGTATTATTGTCATATTGACTCGTTCTTTTCTGTACAAAATTTTCTCACCGTCTTAGACCATGTGGGACAATGGCAGGAGTATTCATACTTACAGAAGCCGTGAATCTTCTATGTTAATAAGACTGAAGTGAACAGTACAGTACAGTATTGCTTTTCCTTGTCTCCTGGTCTTACGGAAACCTGATTACAATGTAACTAAATACTAAATTGCATGAAGCTGGAACACATGAGCTCCCAGTAGAGTCCAAAAGTCACTGTTAAAAGAGAGGACACTGAGTTAATTTTCTCCCCAGTCCTGGGACACACTTTCTGCGGGCTGTCACCAACGAAACTGAGCCTGGAGGAGTGGCTCTTTAAGAAGCAGAATCTAAGGTAAGCTCCATTTTCCAGGGATGTAGTGTTGGGAAACAGTCTCACTGTGACTAGGTTATTTGAGGGGAAAGAAAGGGAATACAGGGACAGCACAATTCCCTAGGGGTTGGTTTTGAGCAGAGAGTTTGTAGCATTTACCCCCTTCTAGGGATGGCTGAAATAGTTATGCAGAGTAGCGCCAGTGTCCGGGTCTCCCGCCTATCCTCACATGGCATTTGAGTAAGCTTGTACATTTGCTAAACAATCAGCTGTGAAATCTGTGACTTCCTGTGGTATGCTTCTCACAATATTTATACAGGCCATCATTTAGTGAACCATATAAATATTTATGGCATGGAACAGCTTTTTGATCATGAATAGAGGCCAAGAGTCAGTGCAGCCCCTGCTGGGGACTTGCTAGGTAGACCCTGAGTTTTAAGGCATCTTGTAGACTGAGATACGAGGTGTGTCTCAGGACTTGTGCACAGCTTGAACTTCTCTTCATTAATTTTCTTTCTCTTTGCCATCCACAGGCGATGGCGGCTTCTTCCTCTTTCCTGAAGGCCATCACCTACAGCTGCTTTTCTTTTTAGAATGTCCTGCTTTGCCCTAAAACAGTGAGATGAAATCTAAATTCCATTCTTCATCATTCATAAAGCAGGCTTCAGAATTGCCCCAAGCTAGCCTGGAATCATAGCCCCTCTCTTGCTGCTATGCCTTACCTAGTGCCCTCTTTGAATACCTCAGCTCATTTTCCTGAGACATGGGGCTTCCACACTGCCTACTTGACAGGGCTAAGCTAAGAATTAAATAAAATGACCAAGTCAGGTGGGCAATTTACAGGGCAGAGCTCAAGAATGACCAGATTTTGTGGTATCTGTTGTTAATGAAGTTGCAAAAACTTTGATTTTTAGTTTTAGCTGAATGTCATGGAAAGTGCCCCAAACTTACTCTTGTATGCTTGTGTTTAAATCCTGGGGCTGGTGTCTGCTTCCTGTGTGCTTCAGCCAGATTATGGGTGCTGCTGAGGTAAATAGTGAGTGATAGGCTTGCTAACCTCATTGATTGGGTTTCTGTAATTCAATAAGCCCTTGATAGAAACAAGCAAAACAATCGTGATCCCAACCCCTTCTTTTTCAATTATAAAGAGAATAGTCTTTCTCTTCAATTAGAAAATGTTATTTCCTCATTAGAAAAAATAATATTTTCTCTATTTTTTAGGTTTTGTATTTTTGGGTACTGACTGAGTGTGGAGTTCAGGACACAGAGGACTGTACTTGTAACTGAGTAACAAAGGGCACAAAGTAGGAGGGAGGGGCAGGGGATCTGGTTTCAGGGAATCTGGGTGTCCAAGGGCTCACACTTGCTGGAGTTGAGGTTCCAGGTGTGGAAACAACTCTCAAAGAGATTAAAAGCACAATGATGGAGAAATGGTGAAGCTCAATGTTGAATTAGGATCACTTTCTTAGAAAAACGTGCACTGAGAAGCTTGTGCAAGCACTGCTGGGAGAAGGCCTCCCTGGCTCCCAGTGGGCTGGGGTCATCCTGTAGGATGTCTCGAAATCGTTTCTGGAAGTTGGAGAAGCTAGCCAGAGGCATTCTGGTGTTGTGGAAGGACAGACATTAAAGGTAGACAGCCTGGCTTTTGGGTTAGCTAATCTCAGCACAGTAGGAAAGGGCCCTTAACACAGTCTTCAGCAAATCAGCATTTAGTAATGGAAGACTATCAGAAGGCAGCAAAGCATCTTCAGACAGATTAAGGGCTTTGAGAGAGAGAGAGAATGGCTCACTTACTTAGTGGTTGCATGAACTATTGGAGTATATTGCTTCACCTGGCTCGGGCTTATCAATAAAATGGAATGGCAATAGTTGTTTCTTTTGTGGTTTTCATGTTCAGAAGTAGCAATTCAAACAGGCTCCAGAGCATCAGATACATAGTTAGCACTGTACCTTTCATTATTCCCTAATGATGGGTTCTTAGCATACCCAGTTCATTCACTGGGTCCCAAGGGCTTGTTGAATTTCCTATAGAGACAAGGGTTGAAATCTTATAGAGACAAGGGTACAGTTTGAGTTCACTGTAATGGGTTATACTATACTTTCTGCATATGGTGAGGACTCTCATGCAGGTAGGTTCTTTTCCTAGATTCAGAATCCAGACCTAGAGCAAGCCCACAGCTGGTGAGTGGTGAGTGGACATCATTCCCTGTTATATTTTTTTATTTTATTTTATCATTTTTTGATGGTTGGTGACAAGACAATATTATAACTGCAGAGGAATGTGATCAGGACCTAGGCCTAGCTCCATGGGAAATCTCTCTTGCCTTGGGGTTGGCAGCATAGATAAAAGCCAAAGTATTTCTGTGAGAACAGCAGAAGAAGTTCTGTAGAGATTCTTAATTCTTCCTTATTTTCTGGTTTCTCTCCAGGTTTGGAACAGACTTACAGAGTTTTAGTTTAGTAAGAGCAGAAGCCATTGGCATTCTTGTGGCTGTGGTGTGATGGTTAATGCTGTCAGCTTGGTAATACCTAAAGTTACCTAGGCCATGAGCCTCTGGGCAGCCTGTGGGGATCTTCTTGATTGCTTTAGTTGAGGTGAGAAGACTGCCCACCATGAATGACACCATTCCCTGGTTGAGACCTGGACCATGTGTTGCTCAGTAGAAAGGGCATCCATTAACTGCCTGTTTTCCAGTGGTGGATTCAATGTGATCAGATGCCTCAGGATTCTGCTGCCTTGATTTCCATACCATGATGAAGGCTGACCTTTGAGCTCTGAGTCAGAGTAAATCTTTTCTCCTTTAAGATGATTCTGCTAGAACATTGTACTACAGCAACAGAAAAGTAGCTAAGGCACATGGGTAGGAGCTGCTTCTCACGATGGAGATGGTGGAAACAAGGAAAAAAATCAATGTGAAACGAGGTGTGGCAAGTGGGTAGAATAGGTTGCCAGGGTAGTCTGAGCCAAGGCACCCTCTTGTCTTGTCAGTCACCTTGTCCTCAGTGGAGGGCCACTCTGATAACTCCATTTTATGTACCACAAAGAAAGAAATTCTACAAATGGATTCCAGGATAGACTATAAGAAGAATCACTCTGATCTCAGGGAAGCTAGATGTGAAAAAAAAATCATGTTCTCTTAGAAGTAGCAAAATGTGGCTGTAAACCTTTAAGGAAATACTTAATTGATTGACACAGAGATTAGAATAGACCAGCACATTATGAGATGCCATAATGTTGTATAACAACTGTGGTAATTGACAAAGGACAGGTAGGACAGTGGGTGTACACACCTCTGGGAATGCCCAGGTTCTCCCTTCTAGCTTTCTGTAAGCACAGCTTATGTTGCATGCATAACATGGACATCATCTACTGCATTTCTCAGGAAGGAACCCTGTTAAATGACACACGATTGTACAAGCGCTGACTGAGAAATCAACATACTTAAGTCATGGTTCTTTTCATTCTTTTTCCTATTGGTTCACTGATAAAGGAGTTCACTTTAGAAAACTACCATTGAGAACCAATTATATTCCAGAGACTGAAAGGGAGTAGGGATATAGAAATCAGTACCTTCCCCTTTTTGCCAGGTTCAGTCCAATAAGGGACATAGACATAGAAACATAACACCAAAACATGGTCCAGAGCAAACATTTGAAATGAAATTATAGATATTGTATCATACTGACAGCCTTTGTACATGTGCAAGAAGAGCTAGAAGGTCCCCAGTAGAGGATGGAATTGGGAAGGGAAGAGTAAGCGATGGTGGGGAGGACCCTCTGTCAGTGAAGAACACAAGTGTACTTTTAGGTATGTGAGAATATCTAGGTCCCCAGGGTGCAGGGTCAGGGCACTGTTCATTGGGGTTAAGAAGCTCATAGAGGGTCCCACTTGGGGAAGACCTCAGGCTGTCCTCCTCTATCTATTGTGATAGTATTCTGCTGCCTGAGAAAGAACCTAGCACAGTAATCACTATGGTGTCCATCATAGCTTGATCCTGGATATCTGACTTGGGATACTAGGACACAAGAGGACAGATACACAGATACAAGTACAGAAAAGCCAGGACTGGATGGACTGTGCACACTCTGATAAAGATGCACCATCAGAGTCTGCACTATGGAGGTGGGAGTTATATACAGTTGTAGGAGGAGGCAGGATTATTGTATACAGTTGTGGGTGGAGGTCAGGTTGTTGTGTGCAGTTGTAGTGAGAGGCAGGGCTATTGTATACAGTTGTCCAAGAAGGCAGGGCTACTATATATTTAGCTGACCAAGGAGGCAGGCTTAGCTAATCTTGTTAGGGGAGTCTTTATACGGGAACTGGTTCAGACTGTAAGTATCTAGGATGAGGAAACTGCACTTGACCTTTTCTTATGGACCAGGAGAAGGTTTTGACATTCCCATGGGTCTGAGGCAAGTAGTCATTGACATGGTCATACTCATGTCAAACAATATATGTTCACTCAGGACTTCCTTTACTCCCTATAAACCACTAAGAGCAAACAGGGATCATGGGAATGACAACTCAGCTTGTATCTGCATTATTTAAAAATCTGCTTTTATTGGTTACTGGCTTAAAGAGAAGGTATCACTGCTGAGTGAATGAGGAATGAAAGCTGGTACTCATGTTTATATAAGCTCCCAAGGGAAAAAAGCCAGGGAGACAGGAAGACCCACCTGCTGAGACTAGGAACCCTGTCCTGCTCCGGGGGAGGCAGTGAGCTTTATTATTCTTGCTTTTCTGTTTTCTTCTTCACCTGCCACAGTGCTGAAAGGGAGCAAACACAGATGGCAAATCATTGTGATTAAGCCAGAAGCTATCACTTTTAATGAAGTTGTTGTTTTTTTCTCTTTTTGTTCCTTTTTATTGGGGTAAATATCCTGGAAGCAGTAACTGCACATCTGCTGGTTGACTTGTTTTAGAATCCCCAAGAGTAAGATGGCCAAGAAACCATCATTTTTCTAAGTTGAGTGTGTAGACTGCTCAGGTTAAAATTGGACCAAAGGAGCTCAGACCACCTTGCTGACCAGAGGCCAGCTGTGCTGTGCTAGTGAAGTTAATGTCTGGAGGCTGTCCCACATGAGTCTGGAGAGAGACCCATGGGAGAATCCTGTGTCATGTGGCTCATCCCATGAGCAGCCTCAAGGGCCCAGGCATTCCTGAGGGTTCTCTGGTCAGGTTTCCTTGTAACTCATCAGGGGTCTGTCAGGAAAATAGATCATCTAACACACTCTTGATCTTGCTTCTCCTGGGCCTTCTCCCAATTCCCAGTTAGCTCACGATGGCTGTGGTATAAGTGTTTCTTCTTAAAATCATTATGTCAAGCCTCTGCAGAAAAAGGGAGGGAGCCAGAGGCTCAGGGTTACACAGGTGTGGAGTTCAGGCCCAGCTGCTCCAGTGAAGCATGGGGAATACCTTCTGTTTCCAGATGTTGGTTTTCCTGTCAGTATAATTTGGTGTCACTGTCATGATAGACTTAGTGTGAAACAAAAAGCTACTTGCCTTTTAGACTCTCCCCTGGTTCAGTAGCGTTACAGAGACTCCCATGTGCTTGTCTCCATTCATAGGGAGGAGTGGAGAGTGCATGGCTACATAGAGTGCTTGGCACAGGATACCTATGAGGCTGATTTGCTGCACGACTGGCTGGGAAATGATGCTTCTTTTGGTTCCACGGCTGCTGTCTTGTGGATTCAAATTCCCATTGTAACATCCATCCCTTATGTTTTCCATTGCCCTCTGATTGTCTCAACTTTTCTTACGTCACTATATAATCAGGTGCTCAATTTCTGACGCCCATCCAGTAGTGGGAATGTCCTGTATTAATGTGCTTGCTCTCTGACCACCTTGCTCAGTGTCTATAAAACCTTTGATAGGATAAATAAATAACACAGAGCCCCCAGTTAGGTAGTTGGATTCCTTTTTCTGTCTACTTTGAAGATTGAACTTCTTGGCTGGCTAACAAGTGTGCTTGTCTTCACATGGCTTTTGCACTTGTCCACCACAGGTAGGGAGACCATGATGTCTGGCGGAGACCATGAACCAGGTCACTACTATGTGGGCATCGATGTGGGAACAGGTAGTGTCCGTGCAGCTCTAGTGGACCAGAGAGGAGTCCTTTTGGCCTTCGCAGAACAGCAAATTAAGAAGTGGGAGCCCCAGTGCAACCACCATGAGCAATCCTCAGAGGACATCTGGGCAGCATGTTGCCTTGTCACAAAGGTAAGAGCCCAACTGTGGCATCTCTTCCTTGTGCATGCTCCACCTGCTCAGCAGTCTGGTATGTCTATACTTGGTCTGCACACTACGTTAGGGTAAGTGGAGGCAAGGAGCTGGGTGCTGTAGGCTTTGTCTTTCAGAAGCAAACCTTGCTGGGACTGACAGACAGCTGTAATGTGCTGGGGGGACTGCTGCAGCCAGTCCATAGAGCTAGGGCTGACTCTGAGGGCATGGTGACAGTGAAGACAGGGCAAGGATGTGGAAGCCTGAGATGTAGAAATGAGGAAGGAAGAGTCATGGCAGCACCCAGTGTGTTTCTATTGTATGCCAATGTGTTAGCACACCCTGTGGTGGGACCTTGGAACTTGGTGGAACTAGCCTTACAGCTGGCACTACTGCTGCCTCCCAGTTTATTTTGGTCCAGGAAGAGATGGAAAGGGGAGTGCTGGTCAGTTTACCCTAAGTTAGGCAATAGTTAGTGACCGGGAACAGCAGGGCAAGAACCCAAATGTCTGATTCCTACTAATAATGAGTCTGTATCCTCCAAGTGGGACACATAAGGGACACTGCTTTGTGGGTAAGAGAAACAGCGAAGGGCAGAAAACCATGGCATGCTCTAAGAAAGCGTCTTCATACGAGCCCCATGCATGCTCATCTTGAGTGGTCTATGATAAGCCTGGGCTTGCTGTCTTAAGGAAGGAAGTGATGCTGGCTGTGAATAGTTTATATCTGATGTCTGTGATGTTAGTAGGACTTTATATATTGATGATCATTAACAACAGTCATTCTTTTATCTCCTTTCCCACCCCCAAAGGAGAAAAAGAAAATGAAATTCTGAGTTCTGTTTCTTCTCCCTGTTTCTAGTTGAGGTCCTTAAATATTCATGAGGTGCTTGGTAATTTTCAGCTGGACAGTCACCCATTTTTTCTGTATTGATTGGTCTGGTTAAACTTTGATGAGCTCTGAGCAGCTGTTAGTGCCCTAGAGAAAACCACAGAGAGGTGGCTTGGGCTACTCAGGCACTCCGCAGAAATAAAAGAGGGGTCATCTTCTCTTCTGCCTGTTTAATTTTCCTCTTCTCTCCCGGCTCCCAGTCTCTGCCTCTGTGAAAATCTTCTGCTCTTTGCCCCTGGGTCTCTTTTGTTCTTCTAACACACTTGCCATTAAGGAAATTGTCAAGAAGAAAATATAGTTCCCTGATGAAGAGCTCCCTTAAAGCAGATCTGCTCCAGCACAGCTTGGTTTAATGGTAGACTTTTAATCATCTCCCAGTGGTGGTCAGCTCATCATTTGAGTCAGCCCAGATAGCCACAGAAGTGCAGGGCATTAGTGCTCGCTCAGCCATGCCTCTCACTGCAGCAGAGCTACAGAAAGCCCATGGGCCTTAGGCCATGCCTCACACATTGTGTATGGAGTGTGGTGTGTCTGCTTACAGCCTGACGTGAGGAGGAGCTGTAAGAAGGAGAACTTTTTGACACACTAAGTATGCATTCTGAAGTTGAACTGCTGGGGTGGGAGTTCCTGTTCTAGCAATGTTTAGCTTGTGATCTTGGACTCGTTACCATCTCTTGCCCTGTTCCCTTCTCAATAAAAGAAGATGAATGAGAGCCCCCAGCTTGATAAGATTGTTGTGATGATTAAAGTATATAAAAAGTCCCAGCGGTGTCAGGGGTTAAGCAATCATTGTTGCCTGTGGTGGGGATGATAACAAGATGGGCAGAGCTAGGGAGTGGATTTCTGAGACAAAAGGGCAGAGGAGCAAGTGCGAGGCAATGCTACTGCCTCTGCAGACCATTCACCCCTCCCTCTGGTCAGAGCTCCTTCCTCGAAAGACTTAAAAAGCATTGGTCTAGGACAAGGGCTGGCGCTCGTTCTACCCTGGCCTGTTTTTGCTTTGTCAATGGCTCCAGAAAGCAGAGACCTTGAGAGCAATTGTGAACTTTCTTTTTCCTTTTTCTTTTTCTCTCCTGAGAGATGATTTTTTTTTCCTTAGTTGAGTTAATAACTACAACAATAACAGTAGTGGTGACAAGACAGTGATGACGCCAGCAGCTCACATTTCTTGGTTCTATGTTCCATGTTCTAGATGCTTTGCTCAATACCGTGTGCCCATCATGTCATTTGGTCCTTATAACAATCTTGTCATGAAGAAAAAGGAAGTCTTTAAAGCAGGTCTCGAGGGCCTCGGGTCTCTCTCTCCAGCATGAGCCCTTCTCCGTGACTGCTGCTTGTAGTCAGAGGAGCTATAGGTCCCTGCTGTATGGGGTCAGGAACTCACCTTGTTGGCTAAGCACTGCATGGTAGTGCCTTTACCTGGCTGGTGCTCATGGGAAAATGTGGGCCCTTCAAATTGGTATGCCTTTGTTGGGCCAGTATCCAGCACACCTAAAACATTCTCTGGAAACATGGAAGTCCTAGGAGACACATACAGTCCCTGTTCTTAAAGTGTACTTTTCAGGCCTACACATCTGTGTCATTCTAAGGAAACATCACAAGTTTTTAGATTTCTACTGGGAAAATAAGATAAGTTGAAAGAATCATCATATATCCAATGGTCATTTGTTAAATGTCCTTATTTTTGTTTGTATATGTGCATTTATGCATATGATGTGCATGTCCATATGGGTACACATTTGTATGCAGGTATGCATGTGTATGCATATGTGTACAGGTATGCATGGGGATTTGTGCAAGTGTGCATGGGTGTGTGTTCAGGTGTACGTGTATGAGTATATATGCATGTATGTGTGTGTGTGCTGGAAGACAACCTGGGATGTCACTTCTTAGGAGTCACCCACCTCCTTTGTGAGATAAGTCTCTCACTGGGGCCTGAGCTCAGCTAGTAGGCTATGTTGGCTGGCCAATGAGCCCTAGTGATGCTCTGATCTCCACCTCCCAGCTTTAGGATTAAAAGCATCAAGCCAGCTGTTTTTCCTGGCACTAGGAATCAAACTTGAATTCTCATGCTTGTAAGGCAAGCAATTTACCAATGGAGTTATTTCCTCAACCCTAGGAAACTGTTATTTTATTTAGTTTGAAAATATTTATGGAGCATAGATTGTATGCTGTACTGTTTGTCAGACACTGAAACATATGTAAAGAAACATCATTAGTTCTTTTGCCTAAAGATGAACTAGCTTAATCTGCATGGGAATAAAGCCCCATGAACATAGGAAGCTAATGAACTGTGATTTTGCTCTAGGTTGGTACTTGCTGTATGGACAGTAATATTAACATCTTACATTCATAGAACTGTTATAGTTTGCAAAACATCTTCATATTTTAATTATGATACCAAGATAAATAGAGGCAGGGCTGTTGTTTCCGTTTGACAGGTGGAAAGATAAACTGTGGACCAGATAGTTGAATGGCATTTCCAGTGTTCCCAGGTAGTGACAGCCCAGGCTTAGATGGCAGAAGTCTCTGTATTCTCTGTTCCCAACACCTACTGCCCACACCATTTTCAGAGCTAAATACAGGTCTTAGCATCTGTGCTACATTTCTCATGGTAGTGATGGTTTCTGTGTTTAAACTGCTGTTACTCTTTTGCTTCCAACCCTTAGTAGTACCAGGATTCTTTCTGGATAGAACCTAGAATTTGTAACATGGCCTTCATGGCTGTGTACATTTTAGCTCTTCCTAAGGTCATTATTGATGTGTTCTCAGCTTTCTGTTCCAGCTGCCATTCACTGTCCATTGTTTAAACATAGAACCACTTGGAGAGAGAGGCTATCCTCTGCCTAGAACATCTTTTTGCCTTTGGGTGCACCAGGATTAGAATTTTGTACAGGGAAAAATGGAGATGAGGTGAGAGGCTGCAGGAAGGAAGATTTCAGGAGACTTGGTGGTGGTGGAGGAGACAGAGGGGACCTCAAAACTCCAGCTAGTAGAAGAACATTAGGATCTCTGTTATAAATGAAAATGTCTGGCTTTCATTTCCTTGCTTATTGTCAGGGAACATCACTGTATATTGCTACACTAGGAAATCCTAGGACAGGATATTTTTCTTTCACTGGTCACTGCAGGAGGTGTTAGAAAATCCTGTCTTGGGCCTTGAATGTACTGCTCCCTATAAAAGTTGTAGTCTTTTCCTTGCTGTTCCTTGCCCAGAGCCTTCCACCCCGGCTGCATCCCTACTAAGAACACTGCCCAGATTTATACATAGTCAGTTGCTTATGCCTGAAAGTCTTTCCTCAAGGTTCTCTGTTTTGAAAACTACCCTACCCTTCTCTATCATGCCTGACCCTCTTGACCAATCAACTTTGGGTATATTATAACTACATTATATCATTTATTTTGACTCATTGGTGATTTACCTATGCCAAAATGTAATCTCCTAAAGACTGAGCATTAAAGAAAAGTATTTTGCTCTCCATTGTTTTCCTAATATCTGCATGAACACACCCTCATGTAAAAGGGCTTGATTGTGCTTTCTAAGGACCAAAAACTGACAAAGACATTCAAACCTATATTCAAAAGAGTACAATGCCAGTCTCATGGACATCTGTTGTGAGCTGGATTCTGTCCATGATGCTCCCAGGAGCTGAATATAAAACTAGACCTACATATTCTACTTCATGTGTGTGTGTTTTCTTTGGATTGCCACAGCCACACCCAGTGTAGCAGAGCTTGCTGATTTAAATCACATGCAGGATTGAAGCCATAGTAACAACAAAGATACATAATCCCTTCCCCAAATTCTTGTTGGCTACATCAGACCTGCAAGTTGACAGTAGTTAGACATGGATCAATTTCCCAAATGAGGCTGCAGCAAACTCCATTCCTGGAAATTCTTTAGAAGAATGATGTGATTTGTCGCTAGCAAGGGAAATCTCTGTCTGCCGGGTTGCTGGAGTGAGTTTATTGCACTTTCTGCTCCCACTAACAAGACTATAAATATGAGTGCATGGCCAAGTCCCAGAGGCCTTGCGGTAATGTGACCATGAAAGCATCTCTCTGGGATAGGCTAGGAGGGGGCATCCCTTGGTGTGGAGAGGCATGCTTTTAAGGTATGTCCTCAACACTAGCCATCTAAGTCAGACTTAGTACATAATGCCAATTTTTCAATTTCCTGAGAATGGCCCCTTGTACAACTGGAGACATGGAAATTTTCATCATTGAAAAGCTGTGATTTGAATCTGGAACTCTGTAAGCCTCAGAAGGTACTCATGGAATAAAGCAAGAAACCATTATCTTTGGACTTAGAAAGGTATACCCATAAATCCTCACAAGTATTTGAGTCTGAAGTTTTCTGTTACTTCCTCTTTCCCTATCATTTGTATTTGTGTTCATATAGCAGGGAACATGCTGCCCTTTGGGCATAAACATCCTAAATAGACATGATTAATGCAGTGTTGAGTAGGCTCTCTGCCTTTACACAGAGGTGCTCTGATTCTACAGTACTTCTAGCCCCCAAAGCCTGCAGTCTTTTCCTTTGGGTTTTCCTTATTACCAGGAAACCAAGACTCAGAAAGACTGAGATTAGTGCAGAAGTGGTCAAGTTCAAACCAAGAGGTGGCTTTTAGATACTATATACCATGCTGCCTGCTCTGGGCTTTCATAGAGTCACTCATATTTTCTCAAACTTCCTCGTCTGAAACATGGATGAACCCAGTCACTCTGGGCCCAGGGGCCAACAGAGTCACCAATTTCCTTGGATTTTTGGGAGAAAGACAGTGGCATCCCAGTGGCTCTCTGGTGAGCCAGACTAGCCCAAGTGACAAACCTCAGGTTCAGAAAGAGACAGTGTCTTAACTAGGGGATTTTATGGCTGGATTGTTCACTGATATATATCCCATGTAATCCCACGTAATTCCATGTAATCACATGTAATCCCATGTAATCCCAAATATATTAAGTCTTTCTTTTAGAGTACTTTGTAAGGATTAAATTCAAGGAAGTAAATAAAGCAAATGGCACAGTAGATGCTTCATATATGGCAGCATTTTTGTATATGCTGCTAATATTGCTTCAAAATTAGAATATTGCCTTTGTTGCAAATCTATAATAATTGTGTGTAGTTCTTTTGTGGTGCATATTAAATATTAACAAAGGAGATGCTAGACTGTAAGTTGAATAGTCTCAACAGGGCAGAGTTCTGCATTTTAAGATGAATTCATAACCAAATCCAGGGAATTGGGGAAATGGCTCATAGATTAAGTGCTTTCTGTACAAGGATGGAGATCTGAATTAATTTCTTCCTCTTCTTCATCCTATTCTTTCTCTTTCTTCTCCCCCTCTTTTCCTCCCTCTATTCCCTTCCTCCTCTTCTTCCTCTTCTTCTTCTTCTTCTCTTCCTTATCTTTGTCCTCTTCTCATCTGCCTTCCTCCTCTTTTTTCTTCCTCTTCTGCTTCTTCTTCTCCCTCATCTTCTTTCTCTTGCTTCTCCTCCCCTTCTTCCTTCCACATCCTCTCTTTTCTTTTCTCCCATTCTTTCTTCTCCTCCCCTTTACCCCTTTCTCCTTCTCCCCTTCTTCCTCCCTTCTCCACCCTTCTCCTCCTCCCCGTCCCTCTTTCTCCACCTCCCTTTTTTTTCTTCCCCTCTTTTTCCTCTTCATTCATCTCCTCTTTCTCTTCTTCATAATCCACCAGGTCCAGTTAACACTGTGTACATTCACATGGATATAGGGCCACCTCCTGGAGACGAGAATGAGCAACCAACCAGCGTTCATTCTTTGAAAAATTATTCCTCATCTCCCAGCAGCAACCAATTGCCAGGTCCTCAGGAATGAGTGAATCATAAGCATACTGATAGGTTCCATCTTGTACAGCAATCAACACTGATGTGATTCCATGACTATAATAGCCATGTCATAGCCAAGGACAGCATGCTCCAGCACTCATTTCTCATTTCACCTTTCAGTCTCTCTGCTCTGTCTTCTGTGATGATACTGACTGATGCCCTCCCTCCCTCCCTCCCTCCCTCCCTCGCTCTCTCTCTCTCTCTCTCTCTCTCTCTCTTTCTGTGTGTGTGTGTGTGTGTGTATGTGTGTTGATATAAATCAGACCTTCAACCGTGAACGGATTTTGAATAGTTTTTATGTTGCTATGAATGGGATTTTGTTTTTAATTTTTGATGTGTTACTTTCTACTATGTAAAAAATGCAACTGATTTTTATTCATTAACCTTCAGTCTTGTGGTCCTATTAGATTTGCTTATTAGTTCTAGTAGCTTTTAAAAGATTTTATCTTTGATCTGGAGTGTGTGTGTGTGTGTGTGTGCACATGTGTGTTTGTAGAGGGAGGATACATTCACAAAAATGCATGTGCCTTTGGAAGGCAGGGCATCAAATCTTGGAGCAACAGTTAGAAACAATATAGGTGTTGAGACCTGAACTCAGGTCCTCTACAAGAGCAGTAGTTGCTCTTTACCCATCTCTCTAAGCCCTCATAGAAGCTTTTTAAAAAGCAATTTCAGCATGTGAAATCATATCATTTGTAAAGAAATACCTTTAGTCTTTTTGTAATTTGTATGGCTTTAATTTATTTTTCCTGCTTTATTTCATGGTCCCCGAATTCTAGCACAGACTGAGTAGAACTATTGAGTAGTTAGAAGTGCTAAGTGGAACTATCTTTCTAACTATTAGGTATGATGTCAGCTCTGAGTTTTCCTGATGTTTTGTTCTTGTCTGTATAAATTTCATTCTCCTTTTATCTTTTCATTCATCTTCTTTGTGTTAGAGACTTTTGAGTATTTTCAGATTATAATTGCATGTTGGTGCTATATTCTGTTAATATATGTCTTACATTAATTAATCATTGATAAGTCACCCTTGCAAGTTCTGGGGTGATTATATATGGTAATGATATATAATGCTAGTTTTATGTGCTGTAATATTTGGTTTGCTAGTATTTTGAAATTTTTATACCTGCATTTATGATGAATACTCTTCTGTAGTTTTACCCTATTAATGTATGTATCATTGATGTAAAGGCAGTGCTGACCATGAAGGATTTGGTGGACAGGCCCTCCCCTTTGCTCTGTTCTAAATGTCTGACATTGGTAAGGGTTCCTCCATAATTGTTTTATAAATTTCTCCAGAGAAACCATTTAGACTTGGAATTAATTTTTTACTTTCTATCTTTTAAGTATAAATTTCATTTTTCAAAACAATGCTTCTCAATTTATTGTGTAGCTTTGACAAATTTCCATAGCTGTCAAATGGTTATGATTAATGATTTTATCCAGTATTATATTTTATTTTGCTAGGAAGATTTGCTGTCCTTGTCATACCACTCTGCAGAGAAATTACTTCTTTATGTCTCCTTTTAGTTTTATATAGTATTCCATTGTATAAATACAGCATAGTTTATTTGTTAAAAATTAATTTATTGGGTTTTGAAATATATTGTTAACAGTGTAGTTAAGTAGCCATCTTATATATGACTTTGTTTACCTGCGGCCATGATTTTCTAAGATATGTTTCCAAAAGTGATATTGCTGAGCTAGTAGTTCTAAATATAATAGTACTGTCAAATTACTTTCCAAAAAAGTTGTGCTCAGTAGTTACATTGGTATAATCATGTTTAAGAAGAGCTACTTCTGAGTGTCTTTTAACATTTTTATTGGTTTATATTAATTTTGGACAATAATGGTTTTACTGTGACATTTTAATGCAAGTATGTAATATGTTTTGATCACATTAGTCCATCACCTTCCTTTCTCCCCCTGTAATCCCGGTGGATCCCCTTCCTCTCCCTAGCTACTCACTTTCTACTTTTCTATAGCTGCTTTCTTTTTTCTTCCTCCTTCTTCTCTTCCTTTTTTGTGACTGAATGAATTCAATTGACTATTATGTCTTCATAGATGCCCCAAGAGGGTGGAGCCACTGCTTTATACAGCTAACCTTTAACATTTCTCTAATGGAAGAAGCCAAATTTGCTATTTTATTTGCATTGATTAATTTTAGTACAACTGGAGAGCTTTATACACTTTGACCTCAGTTTTATATTATTTCCAGTTAGATTGCTTGTCTTTTCCTTACTAATTTATAGGATCTTTTAGTATTTTAGTGATATTAAAAGGTTTTTTTCTGAAAGATGTTTTAAAAATCTTAGACATTTTTATGACACCATGGATCATAGGTTTCAGTTTGTTTCATTATAAAATGTCCTTTTTATTTTCCAGTATTGGGAACTGAACTTAGACCTTAGTGCATTTGATGCAAGCACACTACCACTGAGTTACATCTTGAATCCAAGTCTGAGGTTTCTACAAAAGAATTTTAAAAACTTTTATGTATGGGTTCTTTTCCCGAATGCATCTTTGTGTACCATGTACATGCCTGGTGCCTGCAGAGACCAGAAGAGTGAGTCGGGTCCCCTAAGCCTGGATTTACAAGTGATTATGAGCCACCATGTGGGTGTTGGGAATTGAACCCAGTGAGCAGCAAGCGCTCTTAACTCTTGAGCCACCTGTCTAGCTCCAGCTATAAAGCTTTCCATGATGAGAACTTGGGACATTTGACTTCTTTCAGGAGTAATTTCCTTGTCAGCACATTTAGTTTAGGATCACAGCTGTGGGGTTCCATGGGTGAAACCTGACTCTGACTTTTGAACACAAAAGTGATAAAGAATTATCTTAAGTTAAATAGCAATGCTGAACTCTTCTATGACACGTGTTAGGTGATTTAAAAATGTTTGCATTCATTTTTGTGTAGTGGCCACTTGTCTACAAGATTTAAGAGCTTGTGTTGTCATTTAAGGTTTTGTTTGCTTGCTTTTAAAACAGGAAGTTGTTCAAGGGATTGATGCCCACCGAATCCGAGGACTTGGTTTTGATGCTACATGTTCGCTGGTTGTCTTGGATAAACAGTTTCATCCTTTGCCAGTAAACCATGAAGGTAGGCTCTTGCCCTTCCTCTTCAGTCTTACCTTTGAAACTTTAAATGCTAAGAATGCTAGATTTCAAGGAGTCCATATTGTCCGGTATACTAGCATACATACTTTCTTGGTAATTCTTCCCGGGTATCAACTGGACATCGTCTCAAAAGCTGCCATTCATGAGATTTAACTCCCAAAATGTGTATGTACTATGTTTATTTTGTTTTGACAATGAAATAATCACACAGAAGTCATAGAAGGAAGGAAGAGATTACCTCAGCTCACAGCTCCACATTACCATGGTGGCAGGGAAGTAATGGCCGCAGGAGCTTGAACCAGCTGATCACTTTATTTTTGCAACCAGAAGAAAAGAGCAAGTGTTTGTACACACGCCACTGGGTCCCCTTTGTCCTCTCTCTCATTCACTTCAGGGCCCTCCCTTGAGATAGTCCTGCCCACATTCTGGGTGGATCTTTCCACATTAATTAATGCAGTTAAGACAATCCCTCACTAGCGAGCACAAAGGCCCATCTCCCAGATGATTCTGAATTTTGTTAAATTGATAATGAACACGAACCATCACAGGCTTTATATCAATCTTAGTTTCCATACTATTTCTGGCTGTGCAAAATGTCTGGGTACAGGTGAATGGACAGTTAAAACATCAGAAGTGACATTTGCAGGGGAAGACCACAGCTACTTCTTAAACTGCTTACATGTGCATCTCTCTGCTAACCATCTCGCTTTGGATTGTGGGTAGACTTGTTAAAGGCACTCTATTAAAAGCAGAACCCAGCGGCAACTCTGTGAAGAGAAATCACTATACTCTACCTAAAATATTAACTATATCTGTTCAAGTGCATTCAGCTGACAGAATTCCTCACAGTGGAGGGTTGTTTTGCAGATTAAATGAGACGAAGGACTAACATGGTTCTTAGGTGATACTTAAACACATTAAAGACCTGTTATTAGCAAGATACATAGTTCTGTAGTTATTTCACTATTAAATTAATACATGAGAATGACTGGCACGTATCATGACTGGGTTCCAGTAGTATCATACTGATAATATTGTAGGCGTTCATGCTGCTTTCTCCACATTGAACCCTAGGTATCACCTTAGCCATGTCTCTCATAGGCCCTTTTCTCAACAAGAGGGCTCAGAAATTAGGGAAAGAAGTTGTGAAAGAATGTAATATAAATGACTTTCTTTTAATATTGAATTAAAATATTTTGTGTGTGTATATGTCTCTGAATATGGGTTTGTGGATGTCAGTGACTTTTAACCCTGGAGTTGTGATCAAGGGAGACACTGTTGGAATCACAATCACAGGTGAGGACACTTGGGAGTAGAGGCCTCACAGCCTTGCAACATATTTTCACTTTAAATTAAATTCATTCTACATTTACTTATCTATTCATTTAGTGTATATGCACATGTGCGCATACACAGACACTTGTGATACACAAGTGTGTGTGAAGGTCAGAAGACATCTTTCCGAAATTGGTTCTCTCCTGCCATATGGGACGTGGGTTTTGGGGGTCAAGCTCAGATTGTCATGCTGGTGTTGAGTGCCTTTACTCACTGGGTCATCTCTCTTGTGTCCACTTTGTTCAGTCTTGACACATGAATTTACAGTAGAAATTGTGGAGTGCTTTGCCTGTGAATACATCATTGCTCCCTTGAACTAGAAAGTGAAGATGACTTGTATGTTTCTCTCCTGTCTTCTAGGGGATTCCTCTCGAAATGTTATTATGTGGTTGGACCATCGGGCAGTCAGCCAGGTTCACAGGATCAATGAGACCAAGCACAGAGTCCTTCAGTATGTGGGTGGTGTGATGTCTGTGGAGATGCAGGCCCCAAAGCTCCTGTGGCTGAAGGAGGTGAGCGTGTGGGGTGAGGGAAGGGCATTTCTATGGTAGTAGAAAGGTTCCTTGACCAAGGGTGGTGGACTAAGCATGCCCTGTCAAATCCGTTTCCCCCAGACAGTCTCAAGAGGCTGAGTCCATCTTCTTGTTTAGGTTGTGGTTGACCATTCTTTTTCATACACAGATGTCAGGCAGGCGTTGTATATAGCATCTCCTTAAACCCTATCACCTATCACTCTGTGCAGTAGGTGGTTTTGAGACAGAGTTGTTTGTTTGTTTTGTTTTTTTCTTTTGTAGCCCTATTTTCTCTCAAAGTCCTACCTTCACTTTGTGAGTACTAGGATTCCAGGCATGCATTATCTTGCCCAAGTATTAGTTTCTTTTTTTATAGCACAGTGTCTCTAATTTGTAGATTAGAAAACTTAAGGTTATTAAGAGGAACCACATCACCACAAGTGACACAATAAGCATGCAAGGAAGCCAGGATTTGAACTTTAGATCACTTGACTCCAAAACCAATTCTTTTAATATACTGTGCTCTACTTCAGAGTTCAGAGGTTAATTACCATCCCAATTAGAAAGTGGCAGGGCTGGGATTTAAGTCTAGTCCTTCTGACCAGTGCCTTCTTTGTCTACACATTCTTACCTCCGAATTATTCATGTTTGGCCTTGTTGACATTCAAGATATCTCTTTCTCATTTTACCTGCCCCTGGGTTTCCCTGCTTTTGAGTGATATGGTGATCTTGGTCAAAGCTCTGTCAGGTGGTTTCCATTTCCAGATGTTAGCACTCCTTTATGAAGTGTGGAAAATGGTGATGTCAGCTTAATGGCTCCCACCAGAGATGAATGGGTGAGGAAGTTCACCTCCTCTGGAAACCTCAGACTTGAAACCCCTAGGTGGTCTGCTGCCTAGAGAATCCATCAAATGAGCCAGCGTTGGTGTGATTCATTACTGTCTGTGGGGTTTCAGGTGGTATCAGTCATCAGTTACTCAGATTGTATATGGAGGTGGGTAGAACAAGGGAATTCGTGAAGGTGCTCCAGCCTTGTGACCATGAAGTAGGCAGTGAGGCAACTGGAGAGCCACATTTATTGAAGTAGGCCTGGCTTGCTATCTGCCTTTTCAATTTAAAGAATGCCTTTTGTGGTTGCTGGCTTTGAAAATTGTCTCGCAGTAGTCAAGGATTTTAAGATTCTGATTCTGTCTCTGGCCTCAACAATTGTACACTTTGGGAAAAGTCCTTTGTATCCCAGGCTCCCCTCTTTTTCTTATATGCAGTGAGAGAGTTGCATCAGAGTACAGAACTGCTGTACACTCACTCTGGGCTTCATGAGCACCAATTAGCTTAGTCCTGACAAGTTCTGCCTGCAGTCAGCATGGGACAGAGAGGACATCTTTTGACAAAACACCTGGTACAGCCAGGATTTAAAACCTGTTATCATGCTCCAAATTCCAGCTGATTCCATCAGATACTAAAAATGCTTTATGAAGTATACCACTTGGGATGGGGCCAGGAACAAGGGTGATAGTGTGTTCTTTAAATTACCTAATCTTAACTGTAAGATAGGGAATGGTTTGAATGTGTTTCCCTTTGAGGGCAGTGTTGAGTTCACATCAGAGCAATGGGAAGATGCTCCTGCATTCATATGAATCTGATAGTTGTCCAGAAATCTGCAGCGTTACCACCATGTACTTGAGATCAACAGAAAATAACTTCCAGACAAGATGGTATTATTTGTAACTTCATAAGACTATCTAGGTATTTATTTTTTAAATGTTCCATTTTTGGCTGTTCATATTTCCTCAGCAATCTAATGGTTCCTAGGATTAGGGGGTCACCATTGCTGATACTGAACTTAGTGTGGACACTAGGTTGGCATAGCACACGACAGCCCTGAACTCATGGATAGACAAGTGATTCTTTTCCCTGAGACTCCTGAGTAACTTGTAATTATAGGTGCTTACTGCCATAACTGCCTGTATATTATTCTTAAAAACAGTTTCCTATAAAATTTTTGAGTAAAGGTCAAAACACTGCTTTTCTGTTTATTCATGTATCTGAGAATGAACCTAAGATTGACAAGGCATTTTATTTTCTCTGTCTTTTCATCAGCATGCATAAGAATTCCTGCTGAACATCCCTTTGGTGTTAACATGATGGCACTCAGAATTAATGGAACTTCTAAAACCAACTTCTTGAAGGTCTTCTTATAGTGCTTCTGAAACTTCAATGAGTTACTGAGTCACTGGGGGTTTTTAGACTCTACATTCTGTTCCAGCAGCCCTGAGGCAGGGACTGAGAACTGGAGCTTTTCTAAAGGGTTAATGGGTGATGTAGATATGCTGCTGGCCCGAGGATTTATAAAGCCTCTCTCAATGTTATTCTTGGCTCTTGTACCATGAAGAAAAGCATTTACTTGTGGGCAATCAGGAAAGGGTGTCTTCTTTTTGATTCCTTGATGAGAGATACAGGGATGTTAGGTAGTTTCAGTAGGGTTGTTTCGGTACATATTCAGATAGGAATGTGAGAGTCTGTGCACTTTAGTTCAGTAAGCTGCCATTTGTCTACACTAAATAACATTACTACTTTTTATTTTATTTGTATGTTTGTGTGTGGACACACCATCCACAGACATGTATGGAGGTCAGAAGATAGTTTTTAGAAGTTAGTTTTTGCCTTCTTCCGTGTGAGTCCCAAGGAACCATGCTGGGTGGTTAGGTTTGGCAGCTAACGGCTTTACCACTGATCATCTCACTAGATCATTTCTCTGTTTTTGTGCTATTCCTTCTTTCTAAGACCTGGCTGAGTTCTTGTTGTAAACCAGCAAGTGCCAGAGAGACAGGAGAAAAAATGGGGACAATAAGAACTAAGCCTTAGCTTACATCAGCAGAGTAAGTAAAGTGTTACTTCCTCTTCCTGCCATTATCCCCAAAGAAGAAAACAAATTCAGTCCTCCCACCTCTGTCCATTCTCCATGCTTCTGATTGCCACAGGGAACATAGAGAAATGGGTGCAGGTCTCTGCTTGGGACCTAATTAGACCTAGTTGGTTCTCATGCACCTTTCCTGGCTCATGTAGAGGTCAGAGAGGTTCCTGGGTGCTGGGGTGTGGAGTACTAGGCTGATAATTCCTTTTGTCTGAAAGAAGTATCAGTTGAGTATATTATAGTAGAAAATGTTAGAAAGAAACTCATACTGGGCATAACAAAGATCTCACTAAACTCTAGTTCAGTGGTCGTCAACCTTTCTAATGCTGCAACCTTTAATACAGTTCTTTATATTTTGGTGACCTCCAATCATAAAATTATATTTGTTACTATTCTATTTCATAACTGTAGTTTTGCTATTGTTATGAATCATAATGTAAATATCTGTGTTTTCTGATGGCTGTGGGTAACCCCTGTGAAATGGTCATTCAATTCCAAAATTGTGAAATTGTAAGCTACCCTAAGGAAGAATAATATCTACAACTGTGACACTTAAAGAGAGGGAAAAAGTAAGATGACATTTCAAGAAATAAATATATTTTTATCTTTCATAAAGTTTCATGTTAGAATAACCATTAAGATAAAGATCATAACATCATCAAGAAGAATGGAATAATCAAACCAGGAAAGGCACTAGCAAGAGCTTTTTATTAGATAGGAAGGACTAGATAATTCTTCTCAGTCCTGCTTGGCTACTGGAGCTAATACAGATGTTGAAGAACTTAAGATACACAGAAGAGTTCTTCAGCATTGACAACAAAAAGTGTCTGAGATTTGAAGCCAGACATAATATATTTAAATCTTTTTCCTACATCTAACCAATTGTAGGACCCTGGAAAAGCTAAACAAACTTCTTGATGCCTCAGAGCACTGGACTATGATGCTTCTGACCTTGGAGAATTTAGTAGGATGTTTGGAAAGTGGTACATAGTAGTATCATTTTTCTGCCATTGTATTTGTAATTTTTTTCTCCTGTGATGGGCATTTCAGCTACATGTTGTCTATGATTGAGTGATTCTAAACACTAGAATATCTTCCTTCATGGGCTGGCCTTTGTGAGTAGTGAATGCTTTATGAGAGGTGTGCTTCCTGCTTAGTAGTTAAGCAAAGCATGTGAGGCTGTCAGAGACAATCAGGAAGCAGGAAAGAGGAAAGGACCAAATTGGTCCAGTCATGGTGTGATCATCTGCTGTGTGTGACACCTGCACAAAGACAGCCAACCATGAGCCCAAGGCAGGTAATCAGTGAGAATCTTCTCCCTGATTTCCCTAAACTTTGCCAGTAACTCCAGCCCCAGAGCTACAAATATTTTATTTCCAAAGATAATTTTATTACTAGCACAGCACTCTTGTGGGGTACATTCTATTCATTTCATTTTACAGATGAGGACGGTGAAGCTCATGTGAATGATATGTGTTCTTTGACTAGTAAGGAAACTCACACCAACAGTTTTGTCATGGTTCTATTCCCTACCCATATTCTGTAGGTACCTTCATCAACTTGTGTAGACATCCAAAAGCAGGTCATGCTGTCAAGAAATTAGCCTGATTGAAGGGAAATATATAAGTCAACCAAGTTCAGAGAACGGAACCAGGAAGTAGTTGGAGACAGTGTTTAGTGACTGTATAATGTTAATGAGATACTACCATCTAGCACTTCCAAGCATTAGCACGCCTGATAATTCATCTAATCCTTACAACCACAGTATGAAGTAAATATCTTTTATATGTCAGGAAAGAAGTACAGAGAGTTGAAGTTTTCACGAAGTCTCTCAGCTAGTAAATGATCAGGTTGGTGTTGGAACTTTGACATTTTTTATTCAGAATATGGCTCATTGCCATTTTACTCTGTTTCTTCTATTGTTTTTCTGTCAGGCACGTGCTCAGGGAGAGATTTTTGGGTGGCAGAATTCAGAGGCTCTAAGCTGTGAGCAGTTAGTTGGTGGTGGGCTCATGTTTTTATTTTACCTTTAGTGAGGGTCCCTGTGTGACAGACATTGTGATAAGATTAGGGGATCCCTAGGTAA